CTGGGAGCCTTTCCCCTAGGATCAGGAACACGACGAGGATGTCCACTCTCACCACTGCTATTCAACATAGTACTAGAAGTCCTAGCCTCAGCAATCAGGAAACGAAAAGAAATAAAAGGCATTCTAATCAGCATGGAAGTCAAACTCTCCCTCTTTGCAGATGACATGATACTGTGCTTAGAAAATCCAAAAGACTCCACCCCAAGATTGCTAGAACTCATACAGCAATTCAGCAGTGTGGCAGGATACAAAATCAATGCACTAAAATCAGTGGCATTTCTATACACTAACAATGAGACTGAAGAAAGAGAAAATAAGGAGTAAATGCATTTACAATTGCACCCAAAAGCATAAGATACCTAGGAATAAACCTAACCAGAGAGGTAAAAAGGATCTATCCCCTAAAAACTATAGAACACTTCTGAAGGAAACTGAGGAAGATACAAAGAGATGGGAAAAGATTCCATGCTCATGGATTGGAGGAATTAATATTGTGAAAATGTCAATGTTACCCAGGGCAATTTACACGTTTAATGCAATCCCTGTCAAAATACCATGGACTTTCTTCAGAGAGTTGGAACAAATCATTTTAAGGTTTGTGTGGAATCAGAAAAGACCCCGAATAGCCAGGGGAATATTAAAAAAGAAATGCCATCACAATGCCAGATTTCAGATTGTACTACAAAGCTGTGGTCATCAAGACAGTGTGGTACTGGCACAAAAACAGACATAGAGATCAATGGAACAGAATAGAGATTCCAGAAGTGGACCCTCAACTCTATGGTCAACTAGTGTTCGACAAAGCAGGAAAGACTATCCACTGGAAAAAGAAGAGTCTCTTCAAAAAATGGTGCTGGGAAAATTGGACATCCACATACAGAAGAATGAAACTGGACCATTCTCTTACATCATACACAAAGATAAACTCAAAATGGATGAAAGATCTAAATGTGACACAAGATTCCATCAAAATCCTAGAGGAGAACACAGGCAACACCCTTGTTGAACTTGGCCACAGCAACCCCTTGCTAGATACATCTATCAAGGCAAGGGAAACAAAAGCAAAATGAATCATTGGGACTTCATCAAGATTAAAAGCTTCTGCAAAGCAAAAGAAACAGTCAACAAAACTAAAAGACAACGTACAGAATGGGAGAAGATATTTGCAAATGACACATCAGATAAAGGGCCTGCATCCAAGTTCTATAAAGAACCTGTTAAACGCAACAGCAAAGAAACAAACAATCCAATCATGAAATGGGCAAAGGACATGAACAGAAATTTCACCAAAGAAGGTATACACATGGCCGATAAGCACATGAGAAAATGCTCCGCATCACTTGCCATCAGGGAAATACAAATCAAAACCACAATGACATACCACCTCACACCAGAGAGAACAGTAAAAATGAATAAGGCAGGAAACAACAAATGTTGGAGAGGATGTGGAGAAAGGGGAACTCTCCTGCACTGTTGGTGGGAATGTGAACTGGTGCAGCCACTCTGCAAAACTGTGTAGAGGTTCCTCAAAGAGTTAAAAAGAGACCTGCCCTACGACCCAGCAATTGCACTGCTGGGGATTTACCCCAAACATACAGATGCAGTGAAACCCTGAGACACCTGCACCCCGATGTCTATAGCAGCAATGTCCGCAATAGCCAAACTGTGAAAGAAGCCTCGGTGTCCACTGAAAGATAAATGGATAAAGAAGATGTGGTTGTATACAATGGAATATTACTCAGCCATTAGAAATGACGAATACCCACCATTTGCTTCAACCTGGATGAAACTGGAGGGTATTATGCTGAGTGAAGTAAGTCAATCGGAGGACAAACATTATATGGTCTCATTCATTTGGGGAATATAAAAAAATAATGAAAGGGATTAAAGGGAAAGGAGAGGCAATGAGTGGGAAATATCAGTGAGGGTGACAGAACGTGAGAAACACCTAACTCTGGGGAACGAACAAGGGGTGGTGGAAAGGGAGATGGGCAGGGTGTTGGGGTGACTGGGTGATGTGCACTGAGGGGGCACTTGATGGGATGAGCACTGGGTGTTATGCTATATGTTGAAAATTCGAACTCCAATAAAAAAATATACAAAGAAAAAAAAACAGATATTTTTCCAAAGAGGACATACAGATGTCCAACATTACTCATCATCAGAAAAATACAAATCAAAACTACAATGATGTACCACCCATCAGGATCGCTAAAATCAAAAAGACAAGAAATAAGAAGTGTTGTTAAGGATATGGAAAAACCGAACCTTCATGCCTTAATGGTGGAAATGTAAATTGGTGCAGCCATTATGTAAAACAGTATGGAGATTCCCCCAAGAGATTAAAAATAAAAATAGCATATGACCCAATAATTCCACTACTGGGTATTTACCAAAAGAAAATAAAAGCATCAATTCAAAAAGATATTTGCACCCTTATGTTTATTGAAGCATTATTTACAATAGCCAAGATATGGAAGCAGCCCAAGTGTCCATCAACAGACGATTGGATAAAGAAGATGTGGTGCATGTGTGTATGTCTGTCTGTGTCTGTATACATGTGTTTATATTTACATTTACATATAATGGAGTATTACTCAGCTATCAAAACGATAAGATCTTGCCATCTGTAACAACATGGATGGACTTAGAAGGTAGTATACTAAGTGAAATAAGTCAAAGAAAGAAAAATACCATTTGATTTCACTCACATATGAAATCTAAAAAAAAAAACAAATGAATAAATAAACAAAAGCTGACTCAAACCTATAAATACAAGAATAAACTAATGGTTGCCAGATGGGAGGGAGTAGAAGGATGGGAAAAATTGGTGAAGGGGAGTGAGAGATAGAGTCTTCTAGTTATACAACAAACAAAACGCTAGGAATAAAAGGCACAGCATAGGGAATATAGTCAGTGGTATTTTTTTTAATTTATTTATTTATTAGAGACACTCAGAGAGAGAGAGAGAGAGAGAGGCAGAGACACAGGCAGAGAGAGAAGCAGGCTCCATGAAGGGAACCCGACGTGGGACTCGATCCTGGGTCTCCAGGATCCCGCCCTGGACCAAAGGCGGCGCCAAACCACTGAGCCACCCGGGTTGCCCTAGTCAGTGGTATTTTAAGAGCATTGCATGGTGACAGATGGTAGGGACACCTGAAGATAGCATAACATACATTTGTTGAAACACTGTGTTGTATATCTGAAATTAATGTAACACTGTCATGATACTCAAAAAAGTAATAAACAAATGGGAATCAAAATGATACTTCTTTTTTTAAAGCAAGAATCATTAATTTAACTATTCCAAATACAAAATTTTTTTCTGCTGACATACAGAGCAGAGCTGACAATTGAAAATATGTTTTACAAGTTTCCTCAATGATCATACACGGTACATTTTAGACCTTTTAAAAAGAATGACATTAAGTCTTTTAGTTCAGTGGCAAGCTCAATGCAACTATTCCATGAATCCTAGAAGATAAAGCAACTACAGAAGGTAATGTCTCAAATTTACTTGGTTTAATTTTCCCATGGTGTAGGACAGTTGAAGAATGTCATCCTCTGAAGCTGTGAACCAACCAGTTGAGGAGGGTGTTAACAGTGTCAGGGCTTACCATCATGATGGTCCATGGAGCCAGAACCGAATTCACACACTTTCACACAATTTACATAATTTTATAGCACATTTTGTGGCCAAATATTTGTCACATCTATGCAGGCAGCTGAGACCAGTAATCATGAAAAAGCAACACATGGCTGGGAATCATGTTGGGAAACATCTCCATAGTCAAGTACAGGTGGGGCTATGGGAGTCACATCCCTGCCTACCCGCCTCAGCTTATAAATTGCATTACCTCAGGCAAAATACTATCCTCCCTGAAGTTCCTTCTTCCCTCTACCTCTCAAGATTGCTAGAAGGATCAACAGAACACTTGAGACTGGGCCTCTCTGCATATAAACAGGTGAAATTTGGGCATGCAATTAGGTACATTTCTAATCAGGCCTTCAAACAGCTTCAGAAAAGACAGGTCTCCTGATGTAGACAAATAATAACACAATTACCTGAGAGCTACAGAGTGTCTTCTCACCTATCCATGAGCTTTCCTACAGATCATCTTAGTAGAAGCCCATGCAAAGCTGTATAGTGAGGGAAACAAAGTGACAAGGAAACAGTTGCGCAGATGTGTCTGGCTCTGCTGGTCCCACAGCTACCTCAGAGAATATCTGGAATGAGGACCTGGTGGTCCTGGTTCTCAGGCTTTATTCTGTCCCTAGAGATGCCACTTTCAAACAAGTCACTCTCAAAAGAACCTTTCCTTTAAATAAATGTGGAAGCCCAGCAGACAATGCAGGAAGAGAAGTGCTTTGACTGGCCAGTTCACATGGTCTGACATAATGCCCTCAGCTTTCCCACATACACGCTAAGCCCTCCTCCACATGTGCAAGCAGAGCCTTTCCACCACCACAACCTCCAACCTCCTTCCTCACAGATGCACAGCCTCAGGGTCCCAGCTCACAACAGGCCTGACAACACAGCTTCTGGAAGAACGTGCCCTGGCGCTAAAACCAACCCTTCCTAACAACTTGCCAACTGCAAGGAGTAATCAGCTTCTAAAACACCACAGGGACTCCTGAAGTGAACTGATTCTATATGCAAACCAAAGTCATGCCATGAAGACCCCCGCAACACAAACAAGAAGGAGTGTAGGATGTTAGTCATTTAGGTCTGTAATTGGGCTCTCCTATATAGCCTTATACAGCCTCCATGCTGATTAGCAGTGCCACCTTACATATCTTCCAGGGCCGGGAGAAAAGGTTAGATAACCTTCCAAGAAAAGTGCAGCCTGGCCAAATGCAAAAACCCTCTTCTTCACCTTCAGTCTGTTGATTGGGAAGATGTAATGAGGGTGAGATGCCACCTAGCCCAGTCCCAGGCAAGAAGAATGCTCTGGGCAACCATCACCCTGTGCCAGTGCTAGAACCCCAAGTCTTCCTACCTCAGCTTCAAAAGACGGAATCTGATGTAAGCATTATCCAGAAGCTCCCACTTCTCTTGGGAGGAAGATCCAAAGGAACCAGCCAAGTCGTTGCTCAGCAGGGATCCTCCCTCCCACTCAGCTGAGCTGTTTCCCCAGGATTCTTCAGCAGTGATGAACTCTGGATGGCAAACAGGCATGCACCATGACCTGGAAAGCAAGGTTTGTTAGGTTATTTTCACAGAAATAGTAGCATCTCCAAAATAAGATTTCATTTTGGTGGTAAGTATGAAATGTGGAATCAATTCTGGTTTTTAAAAGGAGCACAGACATTCTACTGCCTTGAAACTGGTGGACATGGATCTTTCTGGACATCACAGAACACCTAGCTTAAAGAAAATCATTTGAGGTCACACATATGATTTATGGACACTCAAGAAACATCAGCATGTTCTGAGTTTGGAACTTCCCAATAAAGCTATTTCTGGCCCAGACCAACTCCAGCTCATTTCAGTATTTGCTTTCTTTTTGCTTGTGTTGGAGTACTCAATACCTAGTTGTTACACTTGTCCTGAAGCAGAATAAGTGGTGCAGGCCTTTCCTCCTCTATGTAGTTCTTTCTGTAACAGAGCTATCCAGCTATAGGCTGGATTTTCCACCCAGACTATACACGATCATGAGCAGGAGTGGAGAACATCAGAGCTGGACTAGTGCTGCCCAAGAATTGAACCTCTGTCTAGAAAGATAATTCAAAAGGAATCACAAACTTTTCTTAAAAGTTAAATCTCTGGCCTTTTGAACAACCTCATCAGTTCAGATGCACTTGACTCTAGTGACGTTGCACTAAAGCCCAAAATTTTCATGTATTACTTGAAATATTTGGGATCACACTACTGACATAACAGGCCATGATTTTAGAAAACAATCAAGCCCAGCTAGCTCAAGAGGGCATTGTGATTCTCCTGAACACCCATAATTGCTTTCAAACTGGTTTACAACAAGAAAAAAAAAAGTCTTACTCATAAAGAGAAGCCCAAAGATGCAAATTAGGCTGTGTGAAACTAATATGTAACAATAACAAATGATGCTGACAGTGCTACAAACTGATTAATACTGAAAATAAAGAGTTTTGTGACCAGGAAATAATAATATGTGAATAATAATAGTACATGTGTGAATAATAATATTACAACCCCCTCAGCTGGTGAACAAGTATAACTATAACTAAAATTGGAACCAAGGAAACTTCTTTTAGAAGTGGCAAGAAGGGAGAAAAGGGAACCCTCTTACACTGTTGGTGGGAATGTGAAATAGTGCAGCCACTCTGGAAAACTGTGTGGAGGTTCCTCAAAAAGTTAAAAATAGACCTGCCCTATGACCCAGCAATTGCACTGCTGGGGATTTACCCGAAAGATACAGATGCAATGAAACGCCGGGACACCTGCACCCCGATGTTTCTAGCAGCGATGTTCACAATAGCCAAACTGTGGAAGGAGCCTCGGTGTCCATCAAAAGATGAATGGATAAAGAAGATGTGGTTTATGTATACAATGGAATATTACTCAGCCATTAGAAATGACAAATACCCACCATTTGCTTCAACGTGGATGGAACTGGAGGGTATTATGCTGAGTGAAGTGAGTCAATCGGAGAAGGACAAACATTGTATGTTCTCATTCATTTGGGGAATATAAATCATAGTGAAAGGGAATAGAAGGGAAGGGAGAAGAGATGGGTGGGAAATATCAGAAAGGGAGACAACATAAAGATTCCTAACTCTGGGAAACGAACTGGGGGTGGTGGAGGGGGAAGAGGGCGGGGGGTGGGGGTGAATGGGTGACGGGCACTGAGGGGGGCACTTGACGGGATGAGCACTGGGTGTTATTCTGTATGTTAGCAAATTGAACACCAATAAAAAATAAATTTATTATTAAAAAAATAGAAGTGGCAAGAAGAAAGCTAATGCTAGTGTATCTAGAACACTGCTGTGCAATAGAATTTACTGTGATGATGGACATATTCTCTGTCCTATCCAGTATGGTAGTCACACATGATCACTGGCCACTTGAAGTATGTAACTGAAGAACTGAATTTTAAATTGTATTTCATTTTAATTAATTTAGCTTTGAATAATACCTGTGACAAGTAGCAACTATGCTGGTCAGTGCAGATGCACAACATGTTCTGACCCTTGTATCATCGGCTGCACATTACTGCCCTCAACATCTTGAAAAGAGGGCAGCCCCGGTGGCACAGCGGTTAAGCGCCACCTGTAGCCCGGGGGTGTGATCCCGGAGACCTGGGATCGAGTCCCATGTCAGGCTCCCTGCATGGAGCCTGCTTCTCCCTCTGCCTGTGACTCTGCCAATAAATAAATAAATAAATAAATAAATAAATAAATAAATAAATAAATAAAATCTTTAAGAAAAATCTTGAAAAGAGGAAAACATTTTATAAGCAAACCTGACCCATGTTCTGTTCCTCTATAGTGGTTTTCGACATGAGGTTCAGCTTAGAATCCCAGGTAATGTTTCTATGCTCCACATGCCCCGGACAAATGCCTACACATGTGCTTTTCAATGAAACATGAGTTCTAAAATAACCTTAATGGTTTACCAAGTAATTCAAAGGAAAACATTAAGGGAACTGATATTTGAAGTGTGTATTTTTGAAGTTATTTATTTATAGTAGAGATGGAGAAAAAAATAAGTAATCCTCCTGGATGTAGGGGCTGTAATGGACACTGGGATGTGAGATGAAGAAGAGGCAGGCTATGGAACATAGGGCATGTTCTGAAGTATGGACATGAATATGGTATTTGAGAGCACAGAAAAAGCATTGATTCTTGAGGGAATTGTGGGGAGGACACCAATGTTTCACAAGGGAAGTGACATTTGAGCTCTTTTGAAGTTGAGTGAGATTGCTCTGGAGAGCCAGAAGGGGAGGAAGTTAGTCTAGTCAAAGGGCTCAGTGGGAACTTTTGCAGGAAGACAACTTGTCATCAGGAATCTCCTGGAGGGAGCCAGCTTGTCCCTGCACTGGGAAGTGATAAGTCCACATTCCTACACGTTATCTAAATGAGGGTGAGTCTTTGGCAAGTGAGGCTAGGAATCCACATGGCATACAAGTACCTCAAAGAACTCTGATACACTCTAAAAAGTATGAGTTGCAGACTCATGGTTGCAGACAAGCCTGGAAAAAGGGTGGGCAGCTCCTAAAAAGGATAGGAGGGAGGTGAGTGCAGGTTACACAGTAGCCTTCCTGCTGATGCAGGTGCTCAGGGTCAGACAGCAGGAAATGACGTGTGCCATGACAATGCCCCATGTTTGTGATGTGAGGCAGGAGATACTAAGCAGGTGGTTCAGGTTTCTGGAAGTCTGTCTGCAAAAGGAAAAGGAAATGAGAGTGGATATCTGGGCCAGGGCCCTTCATCCTAGGAGACAGAGTTATCCTCCAGATCAGCTCTGCTCAGAGATTCCAGAATCATCCCCAGCCCAAAGGGACCCTCAAATTTGCAGGAAGTGGAGGTTCCTCTTAAATCATACGTTTTCAACCTCATCACTAATGACATTTGAGCCAAATCATTCTTTGTTGTGGGGATGTTTCCTGTGCTTTGCAGGATGTTAAGCAGCATCTCTGGCCTTTACCCTTAAATGCCAATAGATAGTACCCCTTGCCCAGCTGGGACAGCAAAAAATATCTCTGGACTGTGCTTTCCTCACCCCTTGTTGAGAAGCCCTGGCCTGGTAACACAGCCCATCAGAGCTGTGTACATGCATGAATGTGCACGTGTAACTTAATCATTGCAGGGATATGCTCAATGTTATTTGGAAACTCATAAGCCACAGACTACAACTACTAGAATCATGAAAACATACCACACTGAATTGACAAGGATTTTGCAGAAACCAAACAACATGTCAGGCAAAAATTTGTATCTCAGGAAGAAGTTCTCCAGCATAAGTGTCAAGGGCAATGCCCAGAGATTTCTTAATTTTATAAGAAGGGGATGGGAAAACTCACCCTTTCTCTTTTGAGGAACTTCTCAGCAAAGGGGTATTTTCTGTAAAGTAGAGGTCTTTTGACCTGGAGTTGAAGAACTGAAGTAAAGAAGAGTGAGGCCTGAAAGACACAGTGAAAGTAAAGTGATTACCAACACAAAAATGGTGGGGGTTCAGCTATGTCCAAGAACATAAGTTATATTTGAATTGTAAAAAGCTGGAGTTTAAGGAGATACAATTAAAAACAACTCTCCTCTCCAGCATAAACCATGTTGGCAATGCAAAGCAGAAACTCATATATGAGACCAGATGCTGTAGGACTGATACTTTTAGGCTTTGTTTAGCATTAACAGTAGATTCCAGCCACCTTTGCTATTCCATGCAGAACTTTCATGGAGAAAACCATTCAGAGTCTGATGAACCTTTCTATGCTCCAAAAAGTCTACTTCCTAAGATCACAGTATTTAAATACCACACATTTAAGATATCCTCCTGGCTTCCTATCAAAGACCAACCAGCAGAAGTCAGGACCCATGGGGTCAAAGTGAAATGATAAAATGGCAAGGAGGGGTATCTCAGGGGGATGGAAGCCACAAGGGAAGCAAAGCAAAGGTTCACACTGTGTGGGGACCCCCTTCCACTGTGCTGGTCTGCACTAGAGGAAAGGCCACCATAAACTTATCCAAATCAGGAGCTTTTCACAAGATGGAAATGATTGCACAGGAACAAGAGAGCCCACAAGCATATATCTTCACCTCATTCAAGGACACATAATGTTTAAATGCAACCAGATTTTCACAAAAAGCTGCTGAAATCATTTTCATTCCTAATTATTGGGAACATGTCATTTTATACACAAGGACATTGCCTTTCCTAAAGGAGCCCAGGCCACAAAGAGCTGCTGAGGATGCCATGAAACACTCACCTGGGGGAATAATAGTACTTGAGATCATAAATGCAGAGAAAGGAAAAAAAATATTCCCACCCCCTTTCTCCTCATTCAAGTACACACCTGTGACAGACAACAGGACTCTGGTCTCATGGACAAATGAAACTAGGGTCCTGAGCTGCATCCAACAATACCCACCATTCCCTAACTGAAGCCAGGAAGGGAGTCTGTCTTGAGCCAGCAAGTGTTCTCGGAGTGCCACCTCTGGGCAGCCTTGGGTACTTTTAATGGGGAACACAGAGGAGTAAAGACTCTGTTCTCAGGAGATTTAATAGCCAGGGAGAAGAGAACAGTAGAAACAAGTATAGAATATATGCCCTAACTCACATAGATGAGAGCAGAGTGGTAAAAGATAAATTCCACTTAAGGGACTTAATAATTAGTGCACTTTAGCTGTTCAAACTGGCTTAAACCATTAGTTGGGAATTTAAATTTTCCATGTCTCATAATTGTAAATGAAGAAGGGCCTCAGGCATATTTAGATAAATGTCTCAATAAGACAACTAATATCCACTGTTTTCTGTTACTCCCTGAGATGGTTTGTATGGGAGAGGTGACCTCACTCACATTATTTAGCAACCCTGAGCTTCCATTTTCTCATCTGTATAATGTGGATTAAAAGGGAAGACTCACTAAAGTGAGTCACACAAAATTAGGAGATGTAAATAACCATAGCTTGGCTTCAATTCAATTCAATTATTTCTATTACACTGCAAGCCTCTTATGAATGGCTGCCATGTTATTTCCATCTTGTTTTATCCTGAAGTACTTAATGACTTAGTTAAATCCCAGTAATCATAGCTTATTTGCATGAGGTGTCTTTTTGACTCAATGAAACAGTTTTCTAAACCATTAGATCAAAAATGTGCTCAGAATCACCAATGACCCTCTGAAGACCAGAGAATGTCCAAGACAGTAGAGATGCTATTGCTCCTTACAAAGTACTACCCACAGGCTCTCAGCACAGCTCACAGCAGCACCACATTGTGCAATCTGAGAATTCACCTTATGCCCACGAAGGAGGAAAATCGGAAATGGGGAAGACAAAAGTACATTTTATTTTCTCTGAGATGGGCATATCTGGCTGATTTCACTATTTAACGTTTCTATTGCGCTTTGTGTATGCATAGTATTTTATAATTGTAGTTAAGTGTACAGAGAGTAGTTTCTAAGAATTGTAATATTTATAATTCTAAAAACCCAAAAATAAAATAAGTTTTGCCAGGAAATTTCACAGAAACTTCAACCTATTCCAAATTTTAATTTAATTTAATACTGTCCAGACATTATTTTCCATTGCTCCAAGTCCATTTCTTTTTTGCAAAGAACAGAAGCTTAGAAGAGAAGTAACATTCCTGGTACTTTACAAGATCCCTGACCTGCTGTTCTGGAAGACAGAAAACTCACAAACTGCACAGAGAGAAGATTCAGGATTGCACAAGAAACATATTCCAGAGTCATTTTTCTTTCTGACTTAATTAATGTAGATAATATTGATGAGATCTATACTATTCCTGACCTTTTATCCTTCTAAAAAAGAAATCTCATTGACATTTCTCTGACTTCACATCTAAGCCCAGGTGCTTTCAAAATTAAACAGTATCTGTTTTCCTTGGTGTCTCAATAACTCTGTGTATACATGTGCAAAATTCATATATGCCTCTAAACTTATAAGTGGGCAATACTTATTTCAATAATTTGGAAACCACAGAAGAGGATAATAGATAAAATGGCTGTATATAATTCTGTAACTGATACCAGCTGTTAAGATTTAAAGATTCTTAACTATAGAGAGTAAACTGATGGTTACCAGAGGGGAGGTGGGTTAAATGGGTGACAAGGATTAGGTGGTGAGGTACTCATTGTGATGAGCACCAGGTTTTATGTGGAAGTGTTAAATCACTATATTGAACTCCTGAAACTAATATTACACTTTAAAAAATAAAGAGCTTCCTTTCAGTCTTTTTTTCTACATATAAATGAATATTTCTAAAGTCAGCTTCAAATATACACATGTCCAGACACATTCAATTGCTTCATCCTCTAATTGTTTAATTTAGATATGTCATAAGCATTTCTGTGTTATTAAATATTCTCCACAATGTGATTTACATGTTGGCATCATAGTCCATTACATGGATCACCACATTAGGCTCAACCATCCATCTGTTGTTAGAAATTTAAGGAATTTCTCTTTTTTATTAATATAAGTAACAAACATTATGAGAGTCCTAATAGATAAGTTGTGTGCCTCCAAAAATTCCTTAGGACAGATTCCTAGAAATGGAGTCCCTGGGCAAGAAGTGTCTTGGTGCTTATGGACCACAGAAAGCCTTACTATACCTTTCAGTTATGGAAGAGAAAAAAATCCCTGTCCCTAAAGCCCTGGGTATTAGCCACATTTTAGATTCTTAAGCAGTAAATTTCAAACAGCTAGAATTGATTCAGGCCCACCATTGTCAAGAAACCTTATTGCCATGATTGTAAATAAGAGCCATCTATGCCAACCTGCAAGATAGATACAGTGTGTTGGCAATACCTACCAGCCCTCCCCACTGTCGATAACAGTTTTCTTAGCTCAGACACCCTAGTTCCTTCTTGATCCAAATGCCTTGTAGTCCTATGTTGCTTACGTCATTTTTTAAAGTATCTAAGACTGTTAAAAAATATGGAATATCAAATATATTAAAACTTCTGAGAAGATTCACATTTCTAAATGCCAGACAAGAGGCAATAACTACTGCAAAGGACACATTGGAGAGGTAGCGGTTTGGTTACAGTGGTAGAGGAAGAGGTTGGCTCTCAGTCTTTCTCAAGCCCTGTATCATGTAGACACAATGCAGCCACAGAAGACAGCACTGCTTGGCAGGGAATGTAGAGCCAATGACAAGGAGTGCAAAATGCTGCCACTTCCTTCCTCTCTCCCTCCCTCTCTCGCTCTGACTCTTGTTTCTTCCTGTTCTCATACTGTATTAACTGGTTGAAGCTACTTTTCCAGAAGGAAAAAAGCAAACTAGCAGGCTGGGAAAAGCTGGGTTTGCCCCAAAAGTGATCACACAGAAAACAGCCAAGTGTGTCCATTGACAGAAAGCAAATCTGAGGAAGGAAAGCAAGCAGGGAAGCTGCCACCTACTCATGTGACCTTTTTTTTTGGAGAGTTGGAAGGAGACTCTAATTCCTCACCAAAATATAGTCAGAACTTCAGAGAGTCTGTGCTTGTTCTGTCCAAGCATGGCTAGGCTTTTAGGTTTAATTAACTGCAAAAAAAAGAGAGTCTATAGCCCAGGCTGCTCAGAGGGTATGTCTGTAATCAGTTGTGACTGAAGAAGTAGAAAACATAAGGGCTCTTTCCCATTTCTTTAGCCTAACACCCCTACTAGTTATTTTCTGCACAATTTAAAAAATAAATGCATAGAAATAATTATAAATCTATGTTAATAGATACACGATGTACAAAAATGTAATTTTGATATCAATAATAAAAAGGGGCAGAACTATATAGAAGTAGAGCTTTTTTATGCAATTGAAGTTAAGTTGGTATCACTTCAAATTAGGTTGTTATAACTTTAGAATGTCATACCTAATTGTCAGGGTAAACACAAAGAAAATATAATAAAACATACACCAAAATAATGAGAAGGGAATCAAAACATGTCACTACAAAAATTTAACTAAACATAAAGAAAGGTAGTAGAAGAGGAAGGCAGTAATGAAGGAAATGAGGGACAAAAAGCTATAAGACATATAGAAAACATAAAACAAAACACCAAAAGTAATTCTTTTTGTAGGAATGATAACCTTAAGTATCAATATGCTAAACTCATCAATTAAAAAGCAGAGGTTGGCAGAGGGACTAAAACAGATACAAAACAAAACCAAAAAAAGCATCATTCAACTATATGCTACCAATAACAATTATGATATGCACCAAACATCAGAGCTCGAAAAGACATGAGGCAGACACGACATAATTAAAGGAGTAGATAGTTCTACAATTATGGCTAGAGATTTCAATGCCCCACTCTCAATAATGGTTAGAAATCAAACAAAAGATACACATGGAACCAGAGCCCTTATACAACACTACAAACCAAGTGGTCCTAAAAGACCTACACACAACAATCTACCCAACGGCAGCAAAATTACACATTTCTCTCAAGTACACATTCTCC